TGTCCTTTTTATAATGATTTGAGGTTAAAGTATATAAAGAAGTATTATTATAAGAGTCCCTCTGTTTACAAACTTGTCCAACTTTTATCTGTAAATAATGTCAAAGAGTTGTCAAATCTAGGTAAATATTTATATCTAGCCACTAAGCGGCGAAATTGATTAATTAGCTACACGTATTTATAATTTTTGTGCTTTTGTATTATGTTCTTTGTTTAGTTTGCACTTGTATGCTTATAGTCACTCTCCTATAACATATATACATGTACAATGTGTCATGATTAGTTTGTACCTATAAGTCTTAAGACTTTTGGTGAATAAAGAACTTGAACTTGAACTTGATCACTTGTAATTCAAGAGTCTGGTCAAACAAAGTTCTTTAATATTACCATCAGCAGTGTTTTTACTTTCGTTTCGGGACGTTATGTCAACGCCATTAAACATTTCAATGAATAATGAAATTAATGAAAAAAAATACCTATACATGCATTCCTGAAGTACCCGTGTATTCACTTTTATCGAGAACAATGTAAGAAAATGTGTCAAATCTCCAGAATAATGCCATATATTTCCATTGGATACATCATAACAAAGCCAACAAGGCTGACTGAAGTTAGAAAAAAAAGCATGCAAAGCAAGTGAGATTTTACCTGTACACCATTCAAAACACCTTCAAGTTCTCACTCAGGTAATCTGGCTTGACTTGTATCAATAGCCTTGTTAGCTTCATGAATTATTGTAAAATATCCAATGAAAATACATAATATTATTCTTTTTGAAGCATTTTCTTACATTTTTCTCTTTAATAGTGAAAACATGGATATTTCAGGAATGCATATACAGGTATTTTTTTAATGAATTATAATATATTTAATGTAATTTTGGGCCACTCAAGTTCTGACTTCAAAAGTTAAAAAGGGTGTGTCAACCTTTGACCGATGAAAAAGATTACCAGAATCTCGGTAAGCCTCGTTATGATGTCACAAAACGAAAGCACTGGGTTTGACCAGGCTTTCTATTCGGCGTAGCTTGCGCAGGCAAAAAGAGTCTGGTTGAACGAGACTATATGGCTATTGGCAAGCTATGACAGTTAGAGAAGAAAGACAACTCGTCCTTAGTGTAATTGATGTTGTGTTCTAATCAGATTTAAAAAGGCGTCAGTGACCACACGGAATGAATACGAGGTACCACCCTTCTCTTGTAAATACATTTTTACTGAGAGTAGAGTTAAACCTTTAAAGGGTCTAACATTATTATGAACATATTACTACGGTTCTTGGTTTTCCTGTGTACTAAGTAAAACGAATTTGTTAATTCATTGTATGGCCGCGATCAATAGTCGGAGTAACTAAGAGTCAGCAGACGTCCAGCCACGGTTAGGTACGTGCATGTCACTGTGTTAATTACAATATAGTTATGTCGGCATTCTTGTAGCTGTTTAAGACCGTTTTGGGATTCATCGCGTCATTTGACTGAGTGCACTCTGAATGCTTGCCTGGGCTGTTTATGGTTTGGTTCAAAAATAGTTTCATCGCAAGATCGTATATCATTTGCTTGGCATATTGGCATAGGAGTTATTAAAACTATCTCGGAAAATGTAATAATATATATCGATATAATATAAACGTCATTCCAATATTGTCAAAGATTATGTCGACCCAAGTAACTCATATAAAACTTAGAAGGTTATATACGCACGAGTTACCTCCCGTTAGACCATCAATATGGTAATCATAAAATATGTGTTAATAACTGTTTGTTGCAATTAATAAAATTGTTATGCCTCATCGTCTGTTCATGTGTTTTAAGCAATGTTATAGGTACAAAGCAAATTGATAATTGTTATCTCATATGCTTTAAAAGATATTTCTGGTGTATATAGCAACAACATAAAAATCAGTTAGCGGCATATCTTGGCTATCGACGTCTGTATTACAGCACTGTTTTATGTGACATCAACACTATCGGAGGAAAATTCAATTATCACATCGCAAAATTTGATTTTGTTCAATATTAAACCGTTCTATTCAAGAAAAAGACAGATAGTAACGGCTATAGTAACATGGCCTTTTTTTTTTTTAACATTTTGGTTTCCCTAGGCGAAGCAAGAAAACTGCAGCAAACATGCCGAAAAGTATTGTTTAATGTGATAATACACAAGATTTCAAATAATGTTTTCTTATGGTTTAAATGGTCTTATGTAGAAGTCTCAATACAACACTGCCTACTTAGATACACCGTATACTTGTCTATGTATATATGTGTTTGGTTTCGTACACATTCACACTGTCAGCTTCTCTTGTAGCGAATTCTCCGTTTGACAGAGTGCTCATTATACCACGTTCAATACACGATCACATAAAACTAAATTAGTATACCACTATAACAATTTCATTGAGTTTATTGTCCGAGCTCACATCATTTATAAACGTTATTTCAAGTGTTCAATGTAGAATAGTCTACTTCCGGCAGCCATAAACCACTTCCGGTCGAACGGTTTCTAATATAGTACATAGATACGCTATATTTAAGGAGAGAGAAATATATAGTGTAACTGAACACAGACAAATATAAAAGAGACTTTAAAAGATAGAACACAACAAACGTGTCTAATTACATTTTAATATTATAAAAGCTACACACACAGGCAGTGTAAACATCTCGAAATCGTCGTTAAGAAAATATATATACTATATTGATTAGACTTTATCACAGATTTGCCTTGGATTAAGCTATTAACACCATGAACATTAACTGTTCACCATTCACATAATCGAAATCCGGCTGAGTAGAATTAGGAGTAACACAAATCCTGTTATAACTTTTCCAATCGTGTTCTCCCAGAATCACTTCCTGTTTCCTCCCATAGCCAGTTCCTGATTCCTCAATCACGAGTCACGCGGAACATTCCCTTCGTTTGAGTTAGAGATCTCTTGTTATCAAATGTGGGTAAGAATTCTAGAATTCCATTGGCTGATACACCGGTTATGACGTTACGTAACGATACTATTGGACGACAACATCACACCGTGACGTCCGTCCTGTTTACAGCGATCAGTGAAAAAAAGCCATGTGCTTGCAACCGGAAAAAAGCGATAAGTTTCCTGATTATCAAATTTGGTTGTCTCTTTGTAGTTAAATTTAATACTACAAAAGGACACTCTAACTTAAATGAGATAACACTATAACATTTATAAATCTATACCTGAATGAAGAACTGTTACATATAGTCATGTGTTTGATGTAGATGTAAGTGTATTAGGTGATGGCAAAGTTAGGTACGCTGCTGTAATGATTGGCCGCTCAGCATGTCCATAACTCTAAATGATATTTCTTGTTCTGGAAACCGGAAATGTTTACGGTGGCGACACCTGTGTTGCGAAGCTGCCCTGCATGTTTCCGGCCGGACGGTAGTTACAGCAGACGACTGACATGCCATTATTATTTCGCGCGTATCCGGTGCCCAGTTCTTTACTTCCCTTCCATACCACCTGTGTGAAGTGACCTGAAAATGTCCAACAACGCCTTAGTCAGTTTATATACGGATTCATGTGGCACCATGCTGTTACGTGGCATGTCCTTCCCGAATGTTGTCAACTACTTTATACATTTAAACAGTCTGGAAAACCAGTATAACAGATGGGTTACTACTTACTGTGTGTATTCTCTTCAGAAAAAAATATATGAATTTCTCTGATAACAAATTCTGTTATGCATTATATAGCAAAATTTGGAAATGGACCACACATCACCATTACCACAGAAAAGTGAGTTCAATGGCTATTATTCTTATTTCCAAGTCTAAAAATTATGACGATTCATAAAACAAGGGGCAGTAGTAGACATTCCGTATACCATCGTTTCCGCATTCTATTTGCTGTTTTTCGATAGAAAATCTCCAAACCTCGATTGAAAAATAGGAAGAAATTTGCTTATGTTAGATCATTTTCTATATTTTTTTTAAGATATCACACACATATACATGTATATCGAATCAGCTTTTGAAATAGCTTATACCTTATACAAATGTGTTACATCTGAATGATGGCAATCAATCAAACTTTACACCAATCTATCATTACGTACCTGTTTCCATGCTGAACCCCCCATTTGCGAAGTTGTAGTGTTTGATTTCACTGTAATGAGCTTCCGTCACCTCTTTACCTGTAAATCATAAAAAAACTATGAAATTTCCCGTCAGTAAGATGTTAAAAAGGCAGCATCTGGCGAGGTTTTTGATGATTGCTAGTCATCTTATGGTTTTTAAGACTTCCGGTTTATGTTATGATCGAACTGGAAATAACACGTCAAAAGATTTAGCTTGACGGCAGATTCTCGCTTATAGGAGAACTTCTAGACATGTTACATAAATCTCAATACAAAGTTGAGCTCATTGACTATTCAATTTATTGAAACAAATTTAGAATTTTCATAGTTGAATTTTGTTTCAACCACATAAAAAATACACCAATCTGTAGTGTTCGCTCTTCCTCAGACCCATTTACCTGTAGCTGTAACGTTTGCTGTTCATCAGCCATACTTTTGTACTTACTTGCATTGTTCGCTGCTCATCAGCCATACATTTGTACTTACCTGTATTGTTCGCTGCTAATTAGATTCACTTACCTTTGGTATTCGCTGCTCTTAAGCTGTTCTTACATGTAACGTTCGTTACTCATCATCTTCGCTTTACTGTAACGTTCGCTTCTCATTGTACACACTTACCTGTAATGTTCGCTGCTCATTGTACACACTTTCCTGTAACGTTCGATTCTCACTGTACACACTTACCTGTAACGTTCGCCTCTCATTGTACACACTTACCTGTAACGTTCGCTGCTCATTGTACACACTTACCTGTAACGTTCTCTTCTAATTGAACACGCTTACCTGTAACGTTCGCTTCTCATTGAACACACTTACCTTTAACGTTCGCTTCTCATTGAACACACTTATCTTTAACGTTCGCTTCTCTTTGAACACACTTACCTGTAACGTTCGCTTCTCATTGAACACGCTTACCTGTAACGTTCGCTTCTCATTGAACACACTTACCTGTAACGTTCGCTTCTTATTGAACATATTTACCTGTAACGTTCACTGTTCATTGTACGGATTCGAACTTACCAGTAGCGTTCGGTCCTCCTCCCCAAAGGTTTTCTCCATACTCGGTGCTGCTGTGTTCGAATATGTCGTTTTTGACGAGATGGTCAGCCCAATTCTGTGCGATTAGGTCAAGGTCTGCTGCTTGGGTCAAAGATTCAGCCCCGTGTTTGGCCCGGTATTTGTTGTGGCTGGCTAACACTTCTTCGCGAAATTTCTGTTGTTTAATATCTTCCTCAGAAACAGCAGCTTCTTTCTTCACCTCTTCCTTCTGTTTGTTGTTATTTTCGACAGCCCGGGGGGTTTCCGATGTTTGCGGAGCCGGTGCCCTGGATTCCGTTTGGGACGACCCACAACCCATGCTGACTGAAAAGGAACAGTAGAGTCGGTCTATCAACAGTTACGATATAACTAGTGCAAACCAACGACTGGGAAGTCTGGAGGGTAATGCTGTCCTAAACCTTTATCCAATTATTATTAAGATATTGTTTGTAACAACGTGTCACGTATGTTTATAACGGTTTAAGCTGGAAAGATTGAAGAATCATAATAACAATTCGTCCAAAGGTTCGTATTGACCAGTCACCCATGACAACCAAAACAGATACGTAAGTATATTTAGACTTACGTCCACCCCTCTCTATAGCCTTGTACTACGAGCTGGGTCTAAAGTAAACCTTTTCGATTGTAGGCAGTGGACTTATAAAGGGTGACAAACACTACTGGACCACTGGGGTCCTGTATATATATATACGTACACATGTATTAACGGGTATTACTGGCTTACAGATGTAATACATAAATGTACCGTTATTTAAAAGTAGGAGAATACATTGCCCCGATATATTATAAACATTTAAAAGCGGTGTGTTTAATCGCTCGCATTAATCTTTTTTCTGTTTAGAGATGACAATAAAATCGATATTGTTTTACACTCGGAGTTAGTTAAGTTTTAACTCTGTAGACATTTGTTAGAATAAAACCTCGGTAAATGACGGATGAACCGACACTGGGAGGTACGGGACCATTGGCACTTTATCGCGGCTTATCGGTTAACATATCTAAAATGGCCACCCAGTTTCCTATGAGTAAGAAATTCAGTTAGAATCCCTAATATAATTATACTGTTTATGATATGAAACATGTATTGGTTTCTTGATAAAAGAAACCTAACGAGTGAGGTGAATATTTTGATTTTTAACGAGCGCGTAACGCGACTGATAAAATATGAAAAAAATGTACAATCCACGAGCGAAATTTGACTGTTATTCACCAAGAAACCACTACCATTCTGTTTATTGCGCTAGTCTTTTTAAAGCCATTGCCTTCCGTGAATAGATNCCCCCCCCCCCCCCCCCCCCACGCCATACATGCTGAGACATGTAATGCTGTATTACGTAGTCTATAAGAAAACGTCATGGCTATCATGACGTCATAATTGTCAATGCAAATTGGTTTCCCCCTTCCTCTATCTGATTGGCCAATTTAGTGTGACATGCGTGAAATTACGAAAGTCATTTGCCATCGCCAGGATACACGTGACTGGGAATTCTCAGGACAGTGTCCTGTGCGTCTGGAACAGCTGATCAAGTTATAACGATCGCATCGACAAATATAACTTAGAGCGACAGTTCAGCCTTCTCTTCTTTAAAGACAATCTAAAATACCATTACATTACCTCTGTTGATATAAAGGTACTCTCTGACCTTTTCGAGTTTTCAAAATGTCATTAATCTCCGTTGTTGTATTTTAAAAAAAACTAAAAAAGAATAGACAATCAACTCATATATCAAATATCATTAGGTATGAATAAAATGTTACCTGTCTAAGCGTAGCTTTGAATACTACGTTTGTGGGTTTGTTTAGCGCTTTACATCGTCGTAACATTGATATTGTAACGCCATAATATGGACGGCGACCAAGGGATGGGCCACTTCGACTTATTCAACTTTAAATATAAATTTACAAATGTAAAATAGACCTTTTTAAATACTACTAGTATCACGAACCGCCTGTATACTGATATTCACCATATGAGGTGGAGCAGAACCAATACGCTCTATACACTCCTTTTCAACTACCATCGACTTTGGTGGTAAGGGAACACATCCCTATAATGGGCATATTCTGTAGAAATTATAAACCTGTATACCTAAACGTAAAATAATACCTTGGATACATAGGAATACTCCAATACTGGACTGTCACATCATCGGATGGATGGTCGTCTTTCGTTAGACGTTTCGGCGCTTATCCACGACGACCTCCAGAGGTGCGCCGACTGGGTTGATCAGACCCAGCCAGATACTGGTCGGCTCTCGCTGCTGCTGATTGGAACTGCAGCTTGCTGCTGTGATATAATTGCAGCCTCCTGCATCATCCATTGTCTCTTGTGATGTTCCGTGTTGCGGCATCGTGTGACTAGCACTGTTGTTGGTGTCCACCCAACGGCTCTTCTCTCTTCCTCCATATGCAGTTGGATGCCATCTCCGCCTGTCTGCTCACCGCACCCACCAGCTTATCCTGCTCTGCCCCTAACATCCCGAGCAACCTCAAAGTCATCCATAGAGATTGGCCAGGGAAACCCCTGCATCCAACCTCTACTGGCAAGCACCATACCTCCCAACCTCGTTGTTAGCAGTCCTTTACAAGTTGCTGGTATTTCACCCTCTTCCGCTCATGTGCCTCCTCTATCCTGTCCTTCCTCTCATGGAACCGTCAGTTCTACCATTAAGACCTGCTTGGGGTTCCGGGACCACAACACAATGTCTGGGCAAAGTGGTGTAGCAGCCACCTCTGCTGGGAAACCCATCCTCTGATGGATGTCTGCCCTCATTTCCAAGTCTCACGCTGTTGCGAGTTTCCCGCCTCCCTCCGATCGCGAGCTGCCTTTCCGTTTGGTTTCTGCCTTCACGAAGTTGACAAACGTTGGACCCTTCGTCACTAATCTTTTCTTCCTTTTGGCATTGTCGAGCTGTCTGCTATTTTCTTGAGGACCTGTTCATGGCGCCAGTTGTATCTGCCATCTGTAAGTGCAACCGTGCAAGATGATAGCATATGCGCCAAATTGGTGGGTTGTCCGCAGAGTCCATATGCTGCATTGTCCCTCAGTCCCCAGGTGTGTAGATTTGACAGGTTAGGTAGCACGTCATATGTAGCCTTCAACAGGAAGCCAAGTATGTACCCCTCCATCCTCCGGATGTCACCCCATGATAAGTTCCGCTCTCTTGCACTTTAACACTGTAGCCAACCTCTCTGTTTGCTCATATCGACGGCCCGTACCTGCCTGGTCTCTTCTTCCATCGTTCTGACCTCTGTATGAGTCATCTCTCTACGCTGCTTTTGACTAGCCCTTCCCTAGTCCGAATTATTCTGACGTTTTATCGACTTTTTTCATATCGGTCTGTCGTCGATTAACGTCAGAACTCCGGCCCTCTATAATATGCGGGAAATATGCGACCCGTGCTCGGAGCGCACTTCAAACTGATATTTTAGAAACAAATCGTCACTTTCACACACATGTCGCACATGGATCGAAAGATCTATTCTTTATGCACTAGGTGATATCAATAACAATTGTTTCAAAGATCATTACGAAGAGTATTTTCCAACGTTTTCTATACCAACCCATGTTTTTAATGGAAATTAGGCCATGAGCAATGTCACATGACTTGACGAGATCTCGCGTTACCGAAGGTATATCCCAACGTTATGACGTAGGCCGGCGATATTTTAATCACGTGGCATTAGAAGGCGGGGCTATCAAAAAACTAGAGTAAAACAGAGTAAGTTTGAAAAAATATGTTTTTAGTGATTGTATTGGTTGTTTGAGGCATGTAATTTATGTTCATCTTGTGCATAAAGAATAGATCTTTCGATCCATGTGTGACATGTGTCTGAAAGTGACGATTTGTTTCTAAAATATCAGTTTGAAGTGCGCTCCGGGCACGGGTCGCATATTTCCCGCATATTATAGAGGGCCGGAGTTCTGACGTTAATCGACGACAGACCGATATGAAAAAAGTCGATAAACGTCAGAATAATTCGGACTAGCCCTTTCCCAATTAGGAAGGGAGCTCGTTCCGAGCCCAAGGCGCCCTGCTGCTGTTGTTCCTACAATATCTCCCAGNTCCTCCGGATGTCACCCCATGATAAGTTCCGCTCTCTTGCACTTTAACACTGTAGCCAACCTCTCTGTTTGCTCATATCGACGGCCCGTACCTGCCTGGTCTCTTTTTCCATCGTTCTGACCTCTGTATGAGTCATCTCTTTACGCTGCTTTTGACTAGCCCTTCCTTAATTAGGTATGGAGCTCGTTCCGAGCCCAGGACGCCCTGCTACTGCTGTTCCTACAATATCGCTCAGTCTTTCTTCTGCCTTCTTCACTGCCTGTTTTGCATCCCACTTCCGGCCTGTACGTGTCACTACCCTTGCTCCCCTGACCAGCTTGTCATCTATGCTCTCCCTCAACATGATCCCCTGCCGCACTTTGGTCACCTTGAATTCCTCAGTCACTGACTTAATTGTTAGCCGGAGTTTAGTCCCTGAACGTTACAAGCCAACTGTGCTGGAGCTTGGAGGTACACTGAGCCACCGTCACAGGTATCTGTTGATCATTCTCTCCGGCGCTTCCACATAAGACCACGGTACTTCAAAGACCAGCAATGGCCAAAGGATTGGAAGAAGCACACCGTGCTGACATATCCAGGCCTTGAACTTTCCTGGCGGCCCACTTTGGTCAACAGCTTTCATCCACTAGTCCGCCTGTTTACGCATCTGTACGACACTGTATGATTATAGTGTATACTGATATATCATTAAGTAGTAGATTCTGTTAAGATTACACAAGGATCACCCTCGATACTCCAGAGGCATCCTCGATAATTCATCGGTTTATTTCACTCACGCTCTCGGCACCCCTAGAATATGTCATAGCAAAGTTGAAGGTTCAGTGTGCACAACCTTGTTGAGACAAGAAGACTCGTTCGATCCTTTGATGTTGTTTTTTTACCTTAGACCAATCAAACNCCTGGAGTATAGAGGATGCTCCAGATGTCACGCTCACTTACGCTTTCTGCACCGTTACTGAGCGTAGCTCTGAAATATCGAGGATGGAAAATTGTAAAAAATATATATGCATAGACCCTTGCAGATCGGGGAATGAGAAGTAAATACCAAATATTACTCACTGAAGGATTTGTCCATAAACTGGTATCTGCTGTTCTTTGCATGACGTGCGACTTATAATTGGGAGGCGGTAGGGACTGGTTAGCCTGTTGTCGGTATGATGTGACTGGCGTGCAATGTTACCGTGTCCGGGTTATATGTTTGACACTTCTATATGGCGGCCTTAAAGTGGCCTAGCGTTCTGTGTCCCTTTCTGATTGTAGAAAGGAGCTCATGCTCAGATAATAATAATAATAATAATAATTATTATACAATACCAGATATCTTTTTTAGACTTGACGAACACTAGTCTAAACCGGAAACTGTATGCTACGCGTAAACCCTGTATCACGTGAATGTATGCCTATTTGAGCCGAACCCTAAAAACTACGTATATCTGTTTATATCAAATTATGTTAACTACGTAATCATCAATGTATACCCGACTAAACCGAAGCGTCAACTTTGTCGTATGACTCATTTAAAAACCTGTCTAGGGCCTGGTCCTAGAGTTCGGTTATGGTAGGTATCTAGGTCCTGGTCCTAGAGTTCGGTTAATGTAGGTATCTAGGTCCTGGTCCTAGAGTTCGGTTAAGGTAGGTATCTAGGTCCTGGTCCTAGAGTTTAGTTAAGGTAGGTATCTAGGGNGCCGAACCCTAAAAACTACGTATATCTGTTTATATCAAATTATGTTTACTACGTAATCATCAATGTATACCCGACTAAACCGGAGCGTCAACTTTGTCGTATGGCTCATTTAAAAACCTGTCTAGGGCCTGGTCCTAGAGTTCGGTTAAGGGAGGTATCTAGGTCCTGGTCCTAGAGTTCAGTTAAGGTAGGTATCACTGTATATAATTGTATGGTTATAACGATAAAAACAGACAGGAAGGGCTTCGTGAAATGTACCAACCATCCCAATATTTGGTCTTATATGCAGAATAATATAAATGCTTCCTTGACGATTGAAATTGTTCTGTCAGCAACCAAGACGATAGGCAACAAGGAGAATTATTACTAAAATCATTTTTATTCAATCAACATGTTAACGAAAAACACCGGTAGCGTAACAAATGTATTCTGATAAATATGAGATCAGTGATGACGTAAACATTGCATAAAACATTAAAATTGGTCTACTATGTACACACACATACACGTACATTTTAAAACATTCATTGTTCGATATAAGTACAATTGCTAAAGTTATAAATGCATTAGATACTAATAATTTCACCAAAATGATAGAAAATATAAATTACTATTAATAGATTACCATTTGAGATAAAATTAACACAATAGTTGTCCTCTCCGTCAATTGCTGGATACACTAAAAGTGGTGGCTAAGATTTCTAAGTAAAATAAAATATTTTCATAACCGATTTATCCACAATTGATTTAACAAACAACACAAGAAATCTAAAATAAAAACTCATATTTTGCATAAAATTCATATTATTATCGTATTGTTACTTATCACAATGACATCGTATTTGATTGGATTGGGTTGATCACATGCCTTTGTATACTCTCGCGCTCCAGTTTCGCCGATTTTAGACCTCTTTTAGTGCAAGTTACTGCCCCTGAGCTCCGATAGAGTAGGGCAAGGGTTCTCGTTCCAAACGAAAAAGAGATATTTTAAAACAGTTATTAATTTCTGCTGTTATATTATTGTTGCATTTTCGGTGTAGTTTACTCTGTTTTTCCCTGGGTTTGGGGAGACATGTTATTTTTTCTTCACCTGAGGTGCATGTGCAATGTTTCCCTCTAAGACTTTACCAGTTACATGTACATTTTCGGTTATACCCTAGATATGACCGAACAATTTAAAAAACATTGTATAATATCACGGGTGTAAACTAAAGAAGTGCTTACACCTTGTAAATAACAGTTATAATAGAGAGGAGTATAATACGGACATGGGTTGGATCCTCAAGGTATTATACAAAGGAATAAGACACAGCAAATCTGACTGGTTAAACAGGTACATGCATTTATACCTACATGTATTTGATTATAAAAAACCCCCTGACCAATTGTCTAATTTGATTGCAAGAGCCTTATACCAAAATATTTTTCTATTACTTTTATGATATTTAGTGTTATTCACTTTTCTGCGGAGCTGAAAATAACATGAATGGATGAGAGGGTCCTATATGTCGTCATATCCTATCTGTCACGAGGAGGTAAATATACAATTCGTAATATGATACCTTAACCTCATTTTAAACTTACTGGCAACGCTAAAACGTCATCAATATATATATTCAGTGCCAGGATTCGAGTGAGAGTTATTTCCCTTCCTACAGGCTTTGCACTAAAATTGACATGTTAAAAAAACAATAAAAAAAGTGAAACCACTATAAATGACTAGACAAACAACGACACCAAAACATTTTCCTCTTTCCGTGTAAAACGCGCCTCATTAATGGTATATACAAAAGTATAGTACAAACGGACTACTTGATGACAGTTGTATTGTAGGTAACGTTTAGTACTGTAGGTGCATTAACTATTAGTTAGCATGTCAGGGCAACATGAGCTATAGCGGCACATTTCATACAGTAAAATAACTTATAAATTATGATTTATGCTCCGGAAAAATTTCATAACTCCTCAACCAAACTTTTGATAGTAGCTACAGCAGATGGTGCATTATCTTTGAACATCACATATTCCTTCACCAATTTTGGAACTTCTAGACTAGCTACCGATTTCTCAAAAGATTGACCCCTCACCTCATCCCTAACCTTTAACCTACAGAGGTGTTGTAGACTTCCGGTAGCTGTCACGGTTGTCATGACTGTTCTGTACACGTCTGCAACCTTGTCCCGTCCAACTCGTCCTATATTGCGCATCCTTGACTTATCGGTCTTACCTTTTGATGGTATTCGGAATCCCACCTTGACTAGTGATTTAGCGAGAGTAATTCTTGTTTTGGAATGAAAATTCGGAACTTTTTGAGCAAATTTGAGCAATTTTTCAAGTGGAGTTTCACCCTGATTGTTAAGAAGATTGAATTTAGCTCCATGTTGAATAAGAGTTACGATGGCACTTTCACAACACCGAGCGCATGCGACATGTAAGGGTGTGTCGCGATTGATATGATCCTGAGTATTGACGTCACATCCGGCCTTTACAAGGTGGACGATGATTGGTCCCGAGTGAGCAGCCGCCACATGTATAGGCTCTTTACCACTGGACGCGCACATCTTAGGGTCTGCTCCTTTTTTAAGTAGCCACACTACTTTCTCTTCCTGAATGAAAAGAGTTCCGAATTAAAATCAAAATCAATATATATAACAAATATTTGCAATTTATATCAAGGTTACATGTGTTTACCTTAATTAACATACTCACTCAGAGGTTAAGGTGATATAATGGCAGTATAAATACACGTTGCTCAGAACAAGGCTGTGAACTATGGTCGACCTTTGGTCTAAGTGTAGTTTATTTATCGTTTTATTACCTGACCGTACTGATCTGCTAGATGATGCTATATTTGCATCTCATAAATCTAACGACAGTGAATAAAGTATATCTCATATATTTTACACAGTCTAAATAGTGTATAATTATGTTTTGGGCTCACATATGGCGTGTACAGTATTATCGCCCTTTAAAATATGTCACGTGTTGCTAGAATTATTTTTCAACAGAAATAAAAGTAACGTGATTACTGATGTGACCGGAAAATAAATTAAGATGTATACTATTTCCTTCTTGGCAAAAGCTTGTCATAACGATGTCTAGAGCATGTGCAAAAACGTTTTATCTAAGATTTAAAGAACGGTAGACATGTTTGATGTACATTATATGTAAAAGGTATATGTCAGAGGTTAACATTTATATAGGCTATTTACCTTCCTGCTGTCCGTAGAATCAGTAATCACAGTCGTCAGAAGGGGGTCCCTCCTAATATCGGTAGTCATAATATCGGCCCCGGCGGCTAACAGTTCATCTGCAACCTGCAAATTTCCCGCCAAAACCGCCAGATGAAACATGGGTCTGCCTCGATAGGAACTATTCGCTGCCCCTTTCGCTCCACGTTTACTGAGTATGCGTACCAGTTTGCTTTTTCCATTTTCAACCGCAATACACAGGAGCCTAGTAACGAGTGTTTTCCCGCCCCAGTCTTGTAACAAGAAGTCATCGCTCACGTGCGGTAGAATAACCTCCAAAAATTCATCATTTCCAACTTCAATAGCCTTGAGGAGAATGTCGGTACATAGATCAGGAGAACTTGAAATTTTCAACCGGAACCGGAAATGTTTAGCTATCAATGCTTTAAGCACGTGCAGCTGGTCGACACCTTGACCCACACACCAGTGGACAGCCTGGATAGCGCTCTCTGGTGTGGAACATGACTCTAAAAGATCCATCGAGGACTTCCCTGTGGCTGTAATTATAAACAAAACATATTTACTGTTACACTACCACAGCTATCAGGGGCGGATCCAGGATTTCCTAAAAGGGGGTCCCGAGAAATTTTTCTCAATAGTCAACGGTGTGCTGCCGAATGCAGCACCCCGAGCGCGTAGCGCGAGGAGAGGGAGAGTACGGGAGGGGGTCTTCCCCCTGCCGTAAGGGGTTTTGGGGGTATCTCCCCCCCAAAAAATTGTGTTTTCTAGAACGTCTCAGAAGCGATTTCCCGTGTTCTGAGGATTGTTTTTATGTTTAATTAACAAGAAGAAAAAAACATAATATCTTACACTAGTGAATTAGTCAACAATTATAAAACGCGAGACTATATAGGTAGTGGCCTTGGGTGTCGCACTGATTTGAACTTAACCGTTTGTTAAGCAACTTAGTTATGCCATGCGTAACTCATTAATTAAACAGCAACAATGTTATGGTGTTATTTGTTCTTTTGTACGACAAACTATTACATGAAGTACTGTTCTGTAGGTACACTGTCTGAAGACTAGATATTGTGCGTCCCTACATTTATTTTTTGACGGCGGACCTCTCGTATCCCCCTTGCGGGCGGGACGCCAAATTAGTTAATAATGAACAAGCCCCCTGTGGATTCATACATTTGTCATCACCAGGTCGCCCCTATAATAATACCATCTGACTTCTAAAACACGCTGTTGATAGAGAATTTGAAAAGAAACTTAAATTTTCTTTCCAGTACTCAAAAAAAGTCTTTGGGCCATACTTAAAATACGATGTGTGGGGCGTAGCCCAAGATTTTTTTATACAAGCTCCGTGCATTATTTGATGCATTTTAAAATGTTAATATGTTCCCATTCCCGGCCGATCAGACCATTTCGGGCCGGCCCGGAAAAGGTCAGTCTGCCGCCAAAATTATTACATAATCATGTAATCTATGATTTGTACTAGATAGGTCAACATAAAGACAATTATACAGACCTTACTCACTTTCAGCATATTTGATGGAGACAAACATACAATTTTGGTCTATTTGTAGTTCTTCCTGCTTCGATCACATTGCTATATATAGAAAATCAATCTGACGTCTAGAATCTATTTTAAGAAAAGTTGTGAATATAGATCTCGCCCGTGACAGTATCAAAGCAATGAGCTTCATTAAGTCCCGATATTTCATTGCTGATCAATCTGTTACATCAAGGATCCGGGTTAGTATAACGGTAATCAATATACCAGCATGACGGTGGTGGAAAAGTCGGAACTAGAGGGAAGGTCAGGAATAAACGTGTACTAGCTTCACTCTCTGAACATATTTGTATAATGATAAAAGCAATAATAGTATTTACAATATGGACCACATGCTGCAGAGAGTGTATAGGAATTACCATAAAGAAGTTGATAAAATATGTGACTTTTTTCTTTATCGAGTTTAAAGTAGGTGTTTATCATTCTAAGTGATTCATGAAGTGTTCTCATAGACTCACTTTCGTATACAAAATGAATTGTACAAAGGATTACGTTGCAACTAAAACGTGTATGATAAATGAAGTAGAAATGTGTGGGTGGACCTATTGTAATTTCCTTACAATTTCCAAAATAATGTCTATAGAAATGATACGTGTACCGGGTACCTGTATTGGACAGGAAGAAGGTGGGTAGATCGAAGTCTAATCTATATACACCTGACAATTTACCCGCCACACAGGTGAAATTACACCAGGTATAAAGACACGGCGACATAGGGCTGAACCACTTACACCTATTCTAAAGAGATTGGACTTAAATTATTCTGATCTCCGGGTGGAATTTCACCGGAAGTTGTTTCCGGTGTTACACAAAGCTCCGACATTTGCATGACGAATCATTGGGTCAGGACTTTAACTTTAGGTTTGCAAAGTCATCCTAATTATGGGGATCCTAAATGCATCATGTATATGTCAGAATAAAACACCTAATGGTTAAAATGACGTACATACATTTAACGCTATTGAAGCGACATTCAATTATAAAATATATTTTAGCTTTTGTACAACTAGAGTAAATATTGCTTCAAAATATTTATTTTTTCATTTTTTTTATTCATTTATATATATTTTAACAACTTCCCGCACATGTTTTTCATAGCAGACTGCATTGTTTGTAAGATTTTTAGTGGCATGCATTTTTGCGATATCAGTCAGTTTTTATATATAAATGTATCACAAATTCAATTTTAACAAGTAGAAATACTGTATACCAGGAAATTTTCGCCGCAGTTCAACTTTCGTGATTTTTGCCCTCCACCATGAAGGAGAATTTAATCTGACAACGATTGTTAATACACAGCACGTATCCAATAGTCGTTATACGTTAACAGGGGGATTCACTTATATATCAATACGTTATTTTTGTGAATGCCAGCCAATTCTTGCGAATTAGTTTGATAAACGTGAGCACTTGCGAAAGTCAATATTTACGAATCAAGGGTGAATGCCTGGACGGGATCGACAGAAGAAGAATGGTTACTTCACCAAGTTATAAAGCGCGTGTTTACTCTTAAGTCCGTCTTGACCACTGTTCGTGTTAAGTAAAAACCTGAGGTGACCTAATCCCGTCGTTCCAGGCAAGGTGTCCGACATTGGTGTATTAATCTAAATCTCAAATCTCGTTTAGAACCTTTCGTGTACATTAGCCTTTTGATTCCCCAGATTAAGGCTTAAAGTACCGGTATATATATACTCGGCACTCGACTAGGTAAAACAACCAGCACAGTATAAGTGACTTTATATCTATAGGGTAACGCATACTGTAGCCTGTGTTGATCCAAAAGCTATCCGATTACAATAATCATTATTAATTTTTGACAGATCTAGATATGAAAGTCATAACCGTATTGGGTTATATCGTAACTCACGTCAACATACACACGTTAATTGTTCTAGCACGTAAACCTGATATTATAGGTCAAAGTCACGGTAACCTCACTCCGTATATGATATGGTTATATTATCACTTCTGNTCATTATTAATTTTTGACAGATCTAGATATGAAAGTCATAACCGTATCGGGTTATATCGTACCTCACGTCAACACACACACGTTAATTGTTCTAGCACGTAAACCTGATATTATAGGTCGAAGTCACGGTAACCTCACTCCGTATATGATATGGTTATATTATAATTTCTACGCCGTAAGAAATCAACAACATGTGTATTGGTTTGTGTTCTATAATGTGCATTTATTTTATTGCTTGTGGCCTATATATATTACTGGATTTTCCATAAGACACCATGACGGATGCCATATGCGGGGATGGTAGACACCATGATGGGTTTCAGTTGTACATGTGGTGACGNTTCTACGCCGTAAGAAATCAACAACATGTGTATTGGTTTGTGTTCTATAATGTGCATTTATTTTATCGCTTGTGACCGATATATATTACTGGATTTTGCATAAGACACCATGACAGATGCCACATGCGGGGATGGTAGACACCATGACGGGTTTCAGTTGTACATGTGGTGACGTCATGACAGAAGTCACAGTTGGTGACGGGAGACATCATGGTGGTGACGGGATATACCATGACAAAGGTCACTGGTGGTGACGAGAGACGTCATGGCAGAAGTCACAGGTGGTGACGGGAGAAACCATGACAGAAGTCACAGGTGATGACGGGAGACACCATGACAGAAGTCACAGGTGATGACGGGAGACATCATGACAGAAGTCACAGGTGGTGACGGGAGACATCATGGTGGTTGCGGGATATACCATGAGAAAGGTCACTGGTGGTGACGAGAGACGTCATGGCAGAAGTCACAGGTGGTGACGGGGGACACCATGACAGGAGTCACAGGTGATGACGGGAGACATCACGACGGAAGTCACAGGTGGTGACGGGAGACATCATGACAGAAGTCACAGGTGGTGACGGCAGACATCATGGCAGAAGTCACAGGTGGTGACGGGAGACATCATGACAGAAGTCACAGGTGGTGACGGGAGACATCATGACATAAGTCACAGGTGATGACGGGAGATACCATGACAGAAGTCACAGGTGGTGACGGGAGACATCACGAAGGAAGTCACAGGTGGTGACGGGAGACACCATGACAGAAGTCACAGGTGGTGACGGGAGAAACCATGACAAAGGTCACTGGTGGTGACGGGAGACATCATGACAGAAGTCACAGGTGGTGACGGGAGACATCATGACAGAAGTCACAGGTGGTGACGGGAGACATCATGACAGAAGTCACAGGTGGTGACGGGAGACATCATGACAGAAGTCACAGGTGGTGACGGGAGACATCATGACAGAAGTCACAGGTGGTGACGGGAGACATCATGACAGAAGTCACAGGTGGTGACGGGAGACATCATGACAGAAGTCACAGGTGGTGACGGGAGACATCATGACAGAAGTCACAGGTGGTGACGGGAGACATCATGACAGAAGTCACAGGTGGTGACGGGAGACATCATGACAGAAGTCACAGGTGGTGACGGGAGACATCATGACAGAAGTCACAGGTGGTGACGGGAGACATCATGACAGAAGTCACAGGTGGTGACGGGAGACATCATGACAGAAGTCACAGGTGGTGACGGGAGACATCATGACAGAAGTCACAGGTGGTGACGGGAGACATCATGACAGAAGTCACAGGTGGTGACGGGAGACATCATGACAGAAGTCACAGGTGGTGACGGGAGACATCATGACAGAAGTCACAGGTGGTGACGGGAGACATCATGACAGAAGTCACAGGTGGTGACGGGAGACATCATGACAGAAGTCACAGGTGGTGACGGGAGACATCATGACAGAAGTCACAGGTGGTGACGGGAGACATCATGACAGAAGTCACAGGTGGTGACGGGAGACATCATGACAGAAGTCACAGGTGGTGACGGGAGACATCATGACAGAAGTCACAGGTGGTGACGGGAGATACCATGACAGAAGTCACAAGTGGTGACGGGGGACACCATGACAGAAGTCACAGGTGATTACGGAAGACATCATGGCAGAAGTCACAGGTGGTGACGGGAGATGCCATGACAGAAGTCACAGGTGATGACGGGAGACATCATGACAAAGGTCACTGGTGGTGACGAGAGACGTCATGGCAGAAGTCACAGGTGGTGACGGGAGACATCATTGCAGAAGTCACAGGTGGTGACGGGAGACATCACGACGGAAGTCACAGGTGGTGACGGGAGACATCATGGCAGAAGTCACAGGTGGTGACGGGAGGCATCATGGCAGAAGTCACAGGTGGTGACGGGAGACATCATGACAGAAGTCACATGTGGTGACGGGAGACATCATGACAGAAGTCACATATGGTGTAGAAAACGCTTACAAAACCGGACTTTCTGATTTTAAATACTTTTTATGTGGGCGAAGGTAGACAGAAATGCTTGTTGTAGTTTTTCTATGATCTAAATAGTCAGCCTAGCAAGGGTAAAGTACTAGGCAGATCGAGTTTATAATTTCATTCTATGTTTTCTTTTTTTCTTTTAGTATATCTCCTCGATTCAGTCGTCTTTTCGTATAAACTGACGAGTTTTAATTTTGTTTCAAATATATAGAAGGCTGTGTAGTATCGTTTTGATACCACAACATGATGCTCTGGTGAAATAGTTTCAACAACAGCGCTTTCAGTTATGGAGGTTTTATGATGATATGATCCTAACAATTCTTCAGACCTCCAGACCAGGTCATATCCCAGTTTGGACTAAAAGTGGAAAGTCGTGTAAAGATAAACGTGTGAACTGTTAAATACGGCCAACTTAAATACAACACCATTAAATCTCTACGTCCCCTGGGGACAATACTGCTGATACAATGCACGTCAACGCGTTAATGGGACATATATATAACTGGTACGGAGAGGCGACAACTAAATCTAAAAACAAATGGCTGTATGGAAATAACATCAATGGATAAAAAACGGACAATACCTAAAACATTGTTTTATCTGTAAAGTTGTGAATTATTTAGTCATTTTGTTATCTACAGCCACAGGTCATATCTATTCCGATATCATGAAATCTATTCTCTCATATTTTGTTTTCTATATTTATAAACGTTCATTTTTGCAAGCTGAAAGAGAAATTGAAGAGTTTCCTTAGAAGCATTATTTTCCTGCGATATTTATTTCAGAGAAGTAACGAGGTTTTTTTTCTGTTTTTTGAAACATCAAGTCTTGACCAAACGTCATCACCAAAAATAGAATAAAACTCATTTTCAGTGGATCTCTGTACATAATGGCTGCACATATGTCGGGGCTGAAGCCGGATATATTCAGTCGAGCTTTACGGCAGCGATCGCTGTCGTTTTATGACTAAGTGTTGACATTTTACATCTCCAGCAAAGATGTCGAATCTCAAGGGATTAATTAAGGTTTAAAAGTGAAGATAGCTAGGTATTTAAAGGCAAAGTACCTTTGTACGAAAACATGCTATTCAAAACTGATGATAAAGAAGTCCTATAATTTGAATTATTGTTTAAAGTCAATAATGCGAGACAAGGTGTCACTAACTGTGGGAAGGACACACTGTATCACATTTGCTGTTTAATTGCACTCTGGACACGATGGCTTTATTCGCAGAATTAAACTTTAGTTATATTGAGACATGAATGGACCAGTGTCCTGCAACGTTGTTTCAGACAGATTACACCCATCTAAGTGAGTGGCCTTGACAATGACACGTGCACAACTATACACCAAAATTGCTAGAATTTAGGAAATAGAATATCCGGAAAACAAACGATACTAAATCAGAGTTGAGAAATAATTTCTTTAAAAGTGCACAGATCTCAACCATGTCCAGAGATTGTTCTGGATTGACAGTATACAAATTACAGCAAAAATAGATATTGTCCAGAAAGAGAAAAACACAATAAAAGAGCAGATCCTGAGATCATTATTTGCGAAAATGCATTTGCCAATCAGATTCAAGGAAGTACGAGAAACATAATTAACATACAAGAATTCTTCAAATTTGAGGAGGACAATGTGCCATGAACAATTTGTTTCAAACACCAATCAATTTTGAGTTAAGTCCACTATATTTTAGTTATCCCTAAAAACAATGCACGTACTGTAAACGATATTTCACACTTTGCTTTCAAAAAAGTAGGTGATGGTAGCGGAATTAATTATCTACATGCATATGTAAATAACACGGGTTATGAAAAAAGCCCTTGGGATACATTCACCTAACCACGAAATGAATTGTATGGCAATGCAAAATATTTCATGAAATAACCATAATTTTTTCTGTACAAAATTTTGTCACCTTGAAAATAACAGCGAAGGTTCATCCTGTCTAACATTGGAATTCAGTAGGTTTTATTAGCACTTACTATCACTGAGTGTCACGTGGGTATTTGTCGAGTAAGGGGGATGCTTTCAAAGGACTAGCGATGTCATGTTAGATCGTATAATCATAACATCCTTAATTAAGGAAAAAGTATCAATAGAAAAGTTTTAATTTTAAATGTAAAAGGGATGCCTTTCCGTCAATATTTTTAATTTAAATTTACGTCCTATTCAATTTATTAAATAAATATCTCAAGATATCAAATATTTTAATGCTATTTGAACGCTGTCGTACATCAAATATTACACGAATTTACATATACTTTATTATGTTACCGTACGAAGTTCAGGTAAGCGGTTAATGCACATGTATTTCTGTAAATGGGATTCAAACTGCCGGTAAGCAGTGAACCGTATACTAACGTTGCATTGTACTCAACCATTTGAAACCATTGATCGATGAAGAGATGCAAAGTTATGATAAAGAGAGTTGTTACCTTGTAGAACATGCACTTTCTATAGCAGTCTAATCCTAAAGGATATCGGGATCCCTACTCACTCGCTCAGGTGACGTAACTGACGGTAGACCTCCTTAACACCCTAACTCACAAAATTCTACCAGCTGAGAAGTTTTCACCTGCACGATTCCTACTCGAAATCCCAACACGCCCCCAAATTTATCATTTCCTATAATCTATAAACATACTCCTTTTAGCCAAAGTCTTTTCAGACTGGCCGTCACACGGGAATATAGGAACAAATTAAATTACTTGTATACAGAAAAGACTAAAAAGACTTCCGATTTGCGCCGATAACATTTGAAAGCTCTGTTTATATTGCTTGTCCAATGCAGTTCTAAAGATCTGTCGACATTGAGAGTCCTCTATGCTTTCCTATAGTCCTGTTGATTTACCATTCCAAAAGAAGCAATTATTTAGATCGGGGTGTAAAATCGATCGATTTTCAGCTGTATACAGAAATGTAGATATATATTTATCTATATATACGTATACGCTTGTATGTAAAGATCTATATATATACCTTTTAACTTCTTACCGTCCACTTACCTTTTGTCGAGATTTGTCCATAAATTACAGACCCATGTGACCGGGATCCACCTGTTACGCCGAGCAGCTCATATAGGTGTCCAGTCCAGGTACTTATTCCTTGTCACACCTGCAATCTACCTGTACAAATTACCTCAGTATGTGACGCCCAGGTCCGCTGCACACACTAACTCTATGTAGTGTTCGGACCGGTGTATAAGGCGACAGGGTCGATCATACCCAGACTTTATATAGTACATATATATAAATGCAATTCAANTCATATAGGTGTCCAGTCCAGGTACTTATTCCTTGTCACACCTGTAATCTACATGTACAAATTACCTCAGTATGTGACGACCAGGTCCGCTGCACACACTAACTCTATGTAGTGTTCGGACCGGTGTATACTGCGACAGGGTCGATCATATACCCAGACTTTATATAGTACATATATATGCAATTCAATTCACCCGCTAATCCGTGAAGTTATGATTCATGTCCAAATTCAGACCGAGTCGTACAGACGTTAGTATATAAGTGAAACCCCGCCCACTGTCTCACGCCCTCATCATCTTGGCGATGTTATTTCTTAGTGTGCGCCCACACTGTGAACACATACATCAATTATTTATCTGTGTGTATACTAAAAGTTGTAAAGTAAACGTCGATATATCTCCAAGTTCTAACACACTCAAGTCGCTATAATCAATTATATCCTACAATAGAATAGTAGAATCATAAATATAGACAATGTATCACAATAAGTGCCATGTTATACATCCCCATGACTAATAAACTGCGTCACTACAAGAGACAAGCATATCTTGTAGAATGACTAGACAATGTTTCACTGTTGGAGAAATGTTTTGTTCTGTTGGCTCATATATTCCATGACACCAAACTCTGATGTCCTGTATACTTTTGGTGTAGAGAAGTGTTGGTGCACACGCCCACTGTACCTTGGTTTGGTTTAGTTTAATTTTGTTCAACGTCCTATGAACAGCTACGGTTATATAATGACATGCCTCCATTTGTGAAGTGTATGCGTGCTTGCGTGTGTATGCAGGAGACAGCGTATGTTGGGGTGCTTGCTTCCTTGTGATAGCGCGGATCTGATGTCGACTTTATAGTGCTGTCTCACTGAAATACCATGCCGAAGGCACCCACCACATAATTCCACCCGGTCACATTCTACTGACAACGGGTGAACCAGTTGTTGCCATTTCCCAAAATGCTGAACGTTAAGCAGGGAATAACAACTACCATTTTAAGGACTTTGGTATGTCCCGGCCTGGGACAGAACCCATTGCCTTCCTCACCTGGGCGAACGCTCAAAATTCAGACCAAAAGTGAGGTGTTGCCAAGCAAGGCGCTAGGAAATAAATGGTAGTTAGAAGTAGAAAGATAGAGATCCAAAATATTGCGATGGGTGCAGCAGATTTATTTTGGTCGCTTTCGTGTTCCTAAATAGAGGACACAATAGCAAATCCCCAATGCTGCAGGGGGTTCCCATTTTTATCCTACGATACATGCAGTGGGTAACAGCAGGTGTATTCTTTTGCCGATCCCCTACCTGCAGGGGTGCCCACTGTACCCTACAGAATCAAACTGATAACGTATTATAATGTATTGATGTCACACTGACAAACTGTTAACGTATCATAATGTATTGATGTCACACTGACAGACTGTGAACGTATTATAATGTATTGATGTCACACTGTCAAACTGTTAACGTATTATAATGTATTGATGTCATACTGTAATTATGTATGTAACCGGCGGCAGAACAATTACCATTACTTCAAATCTAGGTCAAATGGCGTTAAACAGTCGATGTGTGTGTTAAATATGTACATATCAGAGCGATCAGCTGCCATATCTTGATAAAAAAAACACACCAATACATTGACATTCTGTGTCTCTTAAGTTTGCCGGTACGGATTGCTGTACTGACTGCGTGCTATTAAATGTGCACGGATACACCGACAAAATACACTGAAACACTTCGACAATATGTTTGTGTCCGAAACCATGGGGCAGTGTGTCCAAAACCACAGGACAGTGTGTCCGAAACCATAGATCAGCATGTCCGAAATCATAGAGCAATGTGTCCGATAACTTGAGGTAGGGTACCAGATACCACGGAGCAGTGTGTCTGAAAACATAGGGACGGTATGTCCAAAACAATGGGGCAGTGTGTCCGAAACTATGGGGCAGTATGCCCGAAACAATGGGGGCAGTGTGTCCGAAACCAAAGAGCAGTGTGTCTGAAAACATGGGGACAGTATGTCCGAAACAATGGGACAGTGTGTCAAAAACCATGGAGCGGTATGTCCGAAACAAAGGGGGTAGTGCGTCCGCAACAATAGGACAATGTGTCCGAAACCGTTGGGCGGTGTGTCCGAAACAATGGGGGCAGTACGGCCAAACAATAGGACAGTGTGTCCGAAACCATTGGGCAGTGTGTCCGAAACCAGTGGGCAGTGTGTCCGAAACGATAGGACAGTGTGTCCGAAACCATTGGGCAGTGTGTCCGAAACCATTTGGCATTGTGTCCGAAACCATTGGCCTGTGTGTCCGAAACCATTGGGCAGTGTGTCCGAAACCATTGGCAGTGTGTCCGAAACCATAGGACAGTGTGTCCGAAACCTTTGGGAAGTGTGTCCGAAACCATAGGGCAGTATATCCGAAACCATTTGGCAGTGTGTCCGTAACAATGGGGGCAGTATATCCGAAACCATGGGCAGTGTTTCCGAAATCATAGGACAGTGTGTCTGAGACCGTGGGGCAGTGTGTCTGAAACCATGGGGATATTATGTCCGAAACCATGGGCAGTGCCTCCGAAACAATAGGGCAATGTGTCCGAAATGATAGGGCAGCGTGTCCGAAACCATTGGGCAGTGTGTCCGAAACCATCGGGCAGTGTGTCCGAAACAATGGGGGCAGTGCGGTCGAAACAATAGGGCAGTGTGTCCAAAACCATGGAGCGGTATGTCCGAAACAAAGGGGGGTAGTGCGTCCTCAACAATAGGAAAATGTGTCCGAAACCATTGGGCAGTGTGTCCGAAACATTGGAGGCAGTTTATCCGAAACCATGGGGCAGTGTGTCCGAAATCATAGGACAGTGTGTCTGAGACCATGGGGCAGTGTGTCTGAAGCCATGGGGATATTATGTCCGAAACAATAGGGCAGTGTGTCCGGAACCATTGGGCAGTGTGTCCGAAACAATGGGGGCAGTGTATCTGAAACCATAGGGCAGTGTGTCTGAAAGCATGGAGACATTATGTCCGAAACCATGGGGCAGTGTGTCCGAAACCACTGGGCAGTGTGCCAGAAACCATTGAGCAGTGTGTCTGAAACCATTGGGCAGTGTGTCGTCATCAATGGGGGCAGTGCGGTCGAAACAACAGGGCAGTGTTTCCGAAACCATTGGGCAGTGTGTCCGAAACAATGGGGGCAATGCGGTCGAAACAATAGGGCAGTGTGTCCGAAACCATTGGGTAGTGCGTCTGAAACAATGGGGCAGTGTGTCTGAAACCATTGGGCAGTGCGTCTGAAACCATGGAGACATTATGTTCGAAACCATGGGGCAGTGTGTTCGAAACCATAGGGCAGTGTGCCAGAAACCATTGAGCAGTGTGTCTGAAACCATGGAGCAGTGTGTCCGAAACCATGGGGCAGTGTGTCTGAAACCATAGGGCAGTGTGTCTGAAACCATAAGGCAGTGTGCCAGAAACCATTGAGCAGTGTGTCTGAAACCATGGAGCAGTGTGTCCGAAACCATAGGGCAATGTGTCTGAAACCATAGGGCAGTGTGTCTGAAACCATAAGGCAGTGTGCCAGAAACCATTGAGCAGTGTGTCCGTAACTATTGGGCAGTGTGTTCGAAACCATAGGGCAGTGTGTCCGAAACGATAGAGCATTGTGTTCGAAACTATAGGTCCATGTATCTGAAATTGCATTAAATATTGAACACACTATTAGATGATAAAAATGTAACTATATACTGGCCTCTTGGTTGGTAGAGCGCCTGGTTTAAGTTCGAAGTGGTTTGGGTTCGAATATGTTCCCAGTAGGCAATATTATAGATTACCTGGCCTTAAGGGCCTTTTGAGACCATGTCCCTGAATACATATGTTTATCACTGTCAAAATAATAAAATTTGTATATCTGTGTACTGTAAAGCGTTTTAGAGGGGTTTAGGTTGGCTAGATAGGGGGCTATATCAAATGTTGTATATAATTATTACTATTACATGTACTCACAGATATGATATTTGAAAACACAAAGTGAGGAAAGGGGATTCAATAGGCTTTTCTACAATATAAAGAGGCAACTAGGATGCACATGTCAATGCTACTTTTTTTCGTCACATACAAATATTCGTCCGCCGTAGGGTCCTAAAGGATTGCATTGATGTATGCATATAGATGGACGAAAACTATCTTTACAATCTTGTAAACCGAGAGGCTTATAGGGGTGGTCAGACGCAAGTCTGAAAGACATATGAAATATCGAATCAAAGTGGAGGAGGAAATAAGGACGATCATCAAAACCGGATACGGTGGTAAGGCGTGGATCTACTGGTATTGACTGACTGCTTTTAGTACTGACATAAACACCGAGGTAATGTATCTACCCACAGCGATAATAGAGACAGTGTTAGGGAGCGTCAAATCACTCCAGATGCCTATAACACCACCTGGAGGTAAAGATAGCCAAGGATAAGCTGGTAATGACAATCAGAGACGTTGATGATGACAATGTGCGTCGCGTATTAATCTAAACCAGGACAAGAAGGAAATGGTCAGTAAGTGAGATTAAAAACAAACAGAAACCTGGACATTAAGTGAGGCTTGAGAACAGATAAAAATATAGGGAAAGCTGTAACGTGGTCAGCAGTCTAGGCTGCTTAATCAGGATGTAACAAAGCGATATACAGATATACCAACAGGGACAAGTAACATCAAATACCAAACAAGATGGAGGGAAGGTCTAAGCTACGATAGGAAGTGTAAAGGTCTCAGAAACGATAGGGAGTGTAAAGGTCTAAGATACGATAGGGAGTGTAAAGGTCTAAGATAGATAGGGAGTGTAAAGGTCTAAGATATGATAGATGTTGTTAAAGGAAGGAAAGGAGGTTCAAGATACGATAGGGAGTGTAATAGTCTAAGATATGATAGGGAGTGTAAAAGGAAGGAAAGAAGGTCAAAGATATGATAGGGAGTGTAAAAGGAAGGTCTAAGATATGATAGGGAGTGTAAAAG